TATATACATATATATATATATACATATATATATATATACATATATATATACATATATATATACATATACATATATATACATATACCTATATACATATACCTATATACATATACCTATATACATATACCTATATACATATACCTATATACATATACCTATATACATATACCTATATACATATACCTATATATATATACCTATATATATATATACCTATATATATATATACCTATATATATATATACCTATATATATATATACCTATATATATACCTATATATATATACCTATATATATATACCTATATATATACCTATATATATACCTATATATATATACCTATATATATATACCTATATATATATACCTATATATATATATATACCTATATATATATACCTATATATATATACCTATATATATATATACCTATATATATATACCTATATATATATACCTATATATATTTACCTATATATATATACCTATATATATATATACCTATATATATATATACCTATATATATATATACCTATATATATATATACCTATATATATATATACCTATATATATATATACCTATATATATATACCTATATATGAAGAGTTGATTTTCAAAATGCAATATATCCAAAATTTGGGTTTCGAGAAAATCGCACTTTTCTCCTACACGAAGCCATTGTACAATATGCTAAAACTGTTTGTCAATTTAGGTTCATAACCCTCATATACATAGGACTAGAATGGTTTTTGAAATGTACTTGCATAAAAAGATACTTTTTTTTTGTCCCAAAATTTGCGTTTCGTTGCAAAATGAGGTATATCCTGCTTTTGTTAAGCTACAAAACGCTGTATATCCATTTTTTTTCTAATTATACATATGATGTCCAATATTTTAGTTTATTATTTTATTAAGACCCACTTATATTCCCAGTGTTATCATCTCACTACAATTGTACCATGTTTTTCTGTTACTTTAAAGTGTTTTTAGTGAGTAATTTCAGTTATTTGAACAATTTTCAAAAATGATGCAAGTCTCTAACGAGAGACTTTAATTTGAAGAGTACAGCTTGTCTTTAGGTTCATAACCCTCGTATAAATAGGACTAGAATGGTTTTTGAAATGTACCTGCATAAAAAGATGCTTTTTTTTTTGTCCCAAAATTTGCGTTTCGTTGCAAAATGAGGTATATCCAGCTTTTGTTAAGCTACAAAATAGAAATAAAATGAAAATTTTGCGCCGTGAAGATTAAAATTAAGTTTTCCTAATAGTAACTGAGTAGCTTTACAATATGGGCACGCTATCTCATTTTTTTCAAAAATGGCGCTTATCGCGTTTTGAAAATCAACTCTTCATATATATACCTATATATATATATATACCTATATATATATACCTATATATATATATACCTATATATATATACCTATATATATATACCTATATATATATATACCTATATATATACCTATATATATACCTATATATATATACCTATATATATATACCTATATATATATACCTATATATATATACCTATATATATACCTATATATATACCTATATATATACCTATATATATACCTATATATATATATATATATATATACCTATATATATATACCTATATATATATATACCTATATATATATACCTATATATATATACCTATATATATATACCTATATATATACCTATATATATATACCTATATATATACCTATATATATACCTATATATATATACCTATATATATACCTATATATATATACCTATATATATACCTATATATATACCTATATATATATACCTATAGGGTTATACCTATATATATATATATATATATATATATATATATATATATATATATATATATATATATATAGGCCTATATACCTATATATATATATATATATATATATATATATATATATATATATATATATATATATAATATATATATTATATATATAGAATGATTATCTCTGTAGATTTCATGGGCTGCTTCAACAGCTTGTAGCAATGTGTGGTGGTGAGGTGTATCAACCATACCTGAATGTCAAGTCTAAGATAAATCATGATTCAAATAATAGTAGTGATAATACTTCTGTCTTGACATCCCTGAATTCAACATCACCCCCTGGCATTATAGAAGACATGGAGGAATTTACGGAATACAAAAATGCAATAACATTTTATTGTGAAAGTCTATGGAAATTGTGTGGCAATCAAGAAAGCAAACTTGAAGAATTAGAAAAAACTAGGTATTGTTAGTACCTGTTGTCATGTGATTTTTAAAATTCATTCATTTATCTTCTCCATAGTTCTTTCAACTTCAATATACACTTATTTTTAGTTTCTACAGTTAGTTTGGATGTAACCTCCACATTTAAATTCCTGCTGTATTGAATGTCATAAATGTTTTTAAGTTGTATTTACATGCTAAGGAAGTTATTAAAAACTGTCCTTTGTGTCACCAACTTCAAGAGATGAAAAAACATAAATATTTATTGTAGTAAGTTATGTAGCACTTTCATACTTGCTGAATTGGTGTAACTTTTAAGTGAACTTAAAACATTTGCTATTTCATTTTAGTCTGAGAAAACTACTGAAAAATAGAAAGTTTAATTTTGAAATATATTTTTGCATATTATCCATATTGCATTGCATACAATGCTGATGAAACAGTAATCCATGGATTCCAGTCATGATTTATAGGACCTGTAATATAGCAATAATGAACAAAATAAACTCATAATAGATCCTTTTATAATACATTCAAATGGAGTAATTCAAAATAAAATAGTCTACTAATTAACAAAAAAAAACATTTTGCATTTTTATTGTTTATAATATTCCTGTGTGTTTTTGTTGTTGCAACTTTTTACTTGAAAAAAAAGACTTTTTCTGAAAATTGTATTTCTGCCTGTTATTTTACATTTTAATTGTGTCAACCCACCCCTTTTATTCTTAATGCTTACATCTTATAGAATTTAGTACTAGGTCTAATCCTAAAAAATATTTTCAAGGTTTTGCAGCTTTTTTTCCCCCACAACTAAGTGGTTCATGTTTTTAAGTTAATCGGATATTTAGTTCTTCACTTTAAGTCATTTGAAAAGTAAATGCATTTTTTTCTTTTCACAATTGTTTTTAGCCAACCAGTTCAGGAATTTCTTATGAGACTCATGGGATATATAAGTAAGTTCATTATTTTGATCTATTAAGGTTTCCAATTTTGTTTATTATCTGAAGTTTACAGTATGCCTCATTAGTTATTCTAATATTTGAATCCAAATGGATTTTTAGTGTAGCAAAAGTGAAAGGAATGTATAATTGAATAAGAATTGTTCATTCTTCTAGGAGCAGCTAAAGGGAAGAGCTACCACATGAACAAGTGAGTTGTACACTTAGACAAATTACAAACAAGAGTTGCTCAATAGCAGGCCAAAATCTAACTACTCATTCAAATATATCGTATTCTTTTCACAGGAAGAAGAGATTGAAGTCTTCCAGTACACCAGCAAAGAAAAGTGAAGCAGTATCTATTGAGGCAAGCTCATGTCCTTTAGCAGTCTCAGATGACAAGTTGAAGGCCAGTCCCACCCAAGTTTCTAGTTTAACTTTGTTATCTCTACCTTCTGACCTTTCACCTGCTGCCTCATCTACTCCTCTCAAGTACAATCCAATGGAGAGGTTGACAGCTCAAGCTGATCAATTTTCTCTCACTACTGGTCTGGGTCTGTTGGACAACTTTGCAGTAACAGACAGCGCTGTCTCAGCTAGGCCAACCTCTGTACCTCAATTGCAACCCCAGATTAGAAAATGTCAAGTTGATGCCAGCCATCTTAGATCTTGTATTCCAGAAGGACAGATTGGTTTTCAACAATTGAAGAGAGGGGACCAAGTCCATCCACTGGTAAAGGATCAGAGAATTGAACAAACTGTAAGTTGCTTAAATACAAGTGCATCGGAACATGTGTCTTCTAAAGAAAAGCTGCACAGAAAAGTGGACCAAGATGATGTCTCTGTTACACCTGATTGTAAGAAAAGAGATGAGCCTAAGACTCAGGAGTCTGATCTGATAGATGCAACTATGACTCAGGAGTCTGACCTGATAGATGCAACTATGACTCAGGAGTCTGATCTGATAGATGCAACTATGACTCAGGAGTCTGATCTGATAGATGCAAGAACTAATGGAGAAGATGAGACCAATCCACAGAGTCATTTTCTTGACAACGTTCTGCCAGGGTTGTCAAACCTAAGTGACAAAAGCATTAGCCCTGAAGAGCTTGAAACTAAAGAGCGAGAGCCACACATTTCTAAAACACTTGAACCTGGTTATGAGGAACAGTATTTAAGAATGCTTTTAAGTAAACCAATCAGCTTAGCAGCAGAGGCTACTCCTGGTTTACAACAAACAAAAATGAATCAATCTGTGATGGATTCTAAAACCTACCAAGATGAAAAGTCAGCCCCTAATACTGGTATGATCCTCCCACAACAAACTGCACAATCTGAGAGTTGTGATATGGAAACTTTTTCCAAAACAAATGATGTTGAAAAGTTGCATTTTTCTGAATCCTGTCCAACAAATAATGGACAAACACTTAACCTTTTTTCTGGAAATCCTGCAAGCTATGGCATGCCACAAGCTGATTTTCAGTGTAAAACTAAACAATGCAAATCTCTATTGTCCAATGCAAGCTTATCCAAAAATACATTTGCAGAGATGAATTCATCTGGAAACAATAGTGTTTTTTTAAACACCAATAAGTATAGCGTAAATGTGCCTAAAGTTAACCAGCATAGGCAGACTCCTGCAGGGGCTACACACAAGGAGACACCGCTGCCTATACAGCCAGCATTGTATCCTAATGTAGAGAAGTCACATAGACTTGCTGCCAGCTTAGGCACCCCTGTCATCTTCTATCCTGCAAACAGTTTCCAGTCTGCAGATAACTCCTTGGCATCACTGTCAAGTTTGGTACAAAATATAGTTTATAACTCTCATGGAACTATCCTCAAACCTTTGACACCTGTGAGTAGTCTTCCTTCAACAGCCACTTATAGCAGCCCCCAGCTGTTGAACCAAACATCCAGTTCAGTTGCTCCAAAGAAGTCTGTTGCTGCTGCTTTGCCAGTTTTATCTAGTCAGCTTAATGCTGGAAAACCCACACTTGTACCATTCTATATCAGTCACATGAATAGTTTAAACAACCTCCCCAAGTCTACAAATACCATCCATATACAAGGTGTGAGACCACAACAGGCCCAGGCTCCCCTGTTTCAAACCAAACTGAACCTAGATGGCAATCAAGCTTCTGATGGTTCTTGGTGCAGAGCAAAACCTCAGGCCTTCTTAAATCAAACTGAGAACAAAGGAGCAAATGAAGAAGAATATTTGAGGGGCACTCAAGAAATTGGGATCACTGGGCAGGTAGTGCTGAGTACCAGCAGCTCTATACAAGACTCCCCATTTTACCACTCTGGAATCTATTCCAATTCTTCTTTTTTAAATGGATGGAGTTTTGAAGGATTACAGTCCCACCACCATCCAAAAGTACCTGTTCAAAATGAATTAGCCAAAGCCAGTCATCAACAAGCACCTGGAGATTTCTGTTCTAGCTCATCTGGATCCATGACACTGACTGACATTGAGCCCAACAAGGTGTACACACAACCTAAACTACCAACAAAAACCAAAAAGAAAATTTTGACTTCCCTTCTGGCCAATACAACAATGTCAGAAGCTACAAAAACACACCTAGTCAATGCAAGCTCAGCTGCTACTAAAACAGACCTAGCCTACACTTGGAATGAGACAACAAATAACTTAGATCAAGCCAAGGCAAATCTTGCGCTCAGTCAAGTCAGTCGTAAACAGACAGACAAAAAATTATCCAAGCGTCTTCTCTGCTCAGCTTGTGACATGTTTTTTTACTCTGGCACTGATCTTCTAGTGCACCGTTATGAGCAACACAGTCATGTTTGTGGGGAATGCGATGGCAGATTTTTATCTGCCTCTCGTCTAAAACAACATAAAGAAACAGATCATCCCTCCATCTTGAAATGCTCTCATTGTCGCTATCACACCTTCAGCAAAGATGGATTAACTGAGCACAAATGGTAAGCAGGTTTGTTTGTTTGTTTTGTCATTTTCATTTCCAGTTACTTTTTCTGTCCAAATGAATAACATCCATTATTAAGTGTCCTTTTGATATGCTTTTATTTAACTAGCTTACTCTGTCTTTAGTCCGTCATGAGTCCTAACTGGCGATCACTTTTTCTATCACTTCTTTGAAACTTGACATGTGACTCAAGGACACCATTACAATGAAATGTGACATCAACTTTGTTTTAAATGGTTGTAAAATTCATTGTTTAAGAATTAAAGTTTCTTATTGAAAGTACTAATTTTATGGCGTCTAAGGTTAACCAGCATACACAGACCTGCAGGGGCTACACACAAGGAGACATCGCTGCCTATACAGCCAGCATTGTATCCTAATGTAGAGAAGTCACATAGACTTGCTGCCAGCTTAGGCACCCCTGTCGTCTTCTATCCTGTAGTTGCTGCACGTTGCTTTTATTTTGGTGCACACTTTAGTCATGCATTTCTATATTATATAAAAAAAAATTCAAAGTATTGGAATTTTAAAGATAAAAATGTTTTAATAACCCAACAAGTAGAAAATAAATGATTTTTTTAAAGGTCTTTTTCAACTCACAGCTGAGCAAAAATGTTTGTGTAATGCCTAAATGAAGTATTATAATTAATATGAATTCATTACAAAATCTTAAATATAAAATGCTTAATTGCATGAAACATTTTTCTGGTCTTTTGTTAGCTAGCTCACAGAAAAACAGCTTTGTCTATTTAATTAAGAGATAGGGTAAAGTGTAGCTTATTTTTCTTTTTAGGGTCGAGCATGGGATACAAATGGAATCAAAAGATGAAGATTTATCATCTTGTAGTAAAGATATAGAATCCACCTCAAGTAAGAAATCAGAACTGAGAATGAGCACTGCAACTGCTAAATCAGGTTTTTCACTTGTCAAATCTCAGTCACTAGATCTAGCTCATGCCAGCAACACTAGCATGGTTTATACAAGTAAGGAAGACAGTGATCAGTTCAAGGATAGTGACTCGTTTTCTAGCCCTTCCTTTATTGGTGACCAGTTGAAGAGTAGGGCTACTACAGGTACTACTGCTGATCCAATGATCCTAGTCAAAAATGTCTGTGAAAACACAGAAAGCTCCACTTGTCATGTGGCAGAATCTGACTTGTCTGGCCCTGTGTTTCCATCTTTCATTCGTGAACCTGTCCTTAAACATGATTCTAATTTGCTTTCAATCAGTGCTATGTATGCACAGGTTAGCCAGCATTGTCAAATGGAGACTTCAGAGTTTCTTAGCATTTCTGACCAGAACTGCTCTGAGAATGATGAGCCCCGCTTAATTATTGACACAGATGTTGCAAGTAATGAGTGTGAAAAAGCTAAGTCTTGTCTTGATTTAGATGAGCCCTTGTGTTTAGTTACACACAACAGGGCTCAGTCAGAATCTCATTTCGGGCAGTCAACTGTACTCAGAAATAAACACTCTAAAAGAAGGCACACATCTTCAGATTGCAGTAAAAAAAAACTATGTGATGAGTATAAAATTCTACAGATGAAAGCTAGCGAGGTGATAGAAAGTGTAGAAGATTCTAGTCCTACAAGGAATGATCAACTAGATGGAAGAGATTCATCTGTAGAAGCTCAAAGACTGGTTATGAAGATCAGGTGCAAACATTCAATTGGACTAGATCATTTGCAAGTCAAAAAAAAACAGAGGAAAAGAAAGAAACAACTACTCATTGCTTTAGATAATGATGATGAAAAACACATTTTTAGTTTAAAAGTAGCTAACATTACAGATTCTCAAGTTAACAGCCATACTGGTCTAGAAGACAATCAGATAAAGGCTAATGAGATTGCTTGCAAAGACAGTGGTTCTTTTTCCCATGGTGCTATTCAGTGCAAAAGGGTTGTAGAAGCTGAACAACAGCATTTTCAAAGCCAGCAACTCAAAAGTCTTTTCTTAGCTGAAGACTCACAGTCACTTATCAGTTCAAACTTGCAGTCAGCTGAAAAATCCTTAGAGCCAAAAAAAATGCAGTCCCTTCAAGATCGTCATTTAATGAGTTGTTTACCACCTAAGAAAAGAAGACTAAGAAGGTTTTCACGATCTTCTAGTAAAGATGACAAAGGCATGGCTTTGGAGGTGGTGAATTTGGACATAATTGGGAGGTGCGACCAGGGTCAGTTACCTCCCTGTGTTTCTGCAGCAACAAGAAAAAAAGAGAGCAAAAATACTTCCCTGACGCCTTTAAGCATTGAAAGAGCTGCTAGGTTTAAAAATCAGCTTACAAGGCTCTCTATGCGTTGTACAAGAACAAACTCGCTAAAGATAGCTTGCAATAGCAATATGCTGGAAAAACATAAAAGCCAAGACAAGATCAAATCTGGGAGGATTTTAAATTCGTCTTTGATACAGAATAGCTGTAATTTGGCCCCAGCAGATGGACGCTTCTGTTGTCCTGTTGTCAACTGTCAAGCTACATTTTCTAGAAAATGGAACCTTGATGGCCATATAGGTAAAGTCCACTGTAAAATGTCCAACATGGTTTGTTCTGTTTCTGGATGTGATCAAATATTCCTGAGTAGAAAAGATCTCAGACAACACATAACTGTTGACCATAAAGGAAAATCCAGAAAATACAAGTGCAGCTGGCCAGATTGTAACAAGGGCTTCTTTGCACGCACACATTTGAGAATTCATACTTTGACTCACACTGGAGAGAAACCTGTAGCATGCCAGGTTTGTGAATATAGATGTAGGCAGCCAACTGCTTTAATCTGGCATATGAGAAAGCATGGGATTTTCCAAAAAGGGATTAGTATGAAAATGTAGTATTTAGCAAAATTGATTGTAGTTTGAAACATTTGGCCATAACTTTAATGTATGTAAACATTGTATTGAAGCAGATTTGGTATTATTTATTCTTTGATATATGCAAAGGAAACTACTTTTTAATATTACATTTTAAATTATTTAAAGTTTCACTTCAAAATTATGGTGATACAAATATTTTCTGTGAAACTTAATTTTAAAACTTTTATTAGAAACAAATAGTTAACTGTGAAATATTAGTTCAAATTATTTAAAGGTGTTACTTTCTTCTTTTTTTTCCAAATATTGTTATTTTAAAATACATATTTTTAAAAATTGTTATTTAATATTTTTATTATAAGCAGATGTAAATTTAATTAATTAAATTAATTTTGGCACCAAATATGTTGGCTTAAAACCTTCTTCCTAATTTTATTTAGCTAATTATGTGCTTGTGCTACTCATTTTGAATCACCCATTTAAAAAATATAATGCAAGCCTGAAAAAAAAGTTCTCTTAAATTTCAGTGCATTTTTGGACAAAGGTTTAAAACCAGTGTTTACTTACTACTTTCACCTGTTTTTAGTCTTTATTTATTATAGGTTGTACCACAACATGCTTCCACACTCTTTTAGCCTACATGGCTCAAAATTTTAATTTAACCATTGTTTAAAAAAAAAAGAAGTGGTGTGCAAGAAAGTTAAGAATGAATTTATTTATGGACAGAAACATTTTAACAACCAAACACCAGCCAACAGTTTTTTGGTTCTAAAACATGCTTACTGATTGCATTCCTCATTTAAATATAGATTTATTATAGGTATAGAAAATAAGTTGATTCAAAAAGTTAAAAAAGCTCCTCAAACAATATCTACAAATAATTTCTGAATGAACATTAAAAATTGACATAATACAAACTTAGCAATTCTTCAATCATAATTTTGAATATTGCCACAACAAAAAATAAAATCACATTCTTTGTTATATTGAAGTGTATATATTGTTTTTCAGTGGCCTTAAGGGCTTATCTGCTAGGTAGGTATTTTTTTTATAATTCATAGATACCATACACTGCATGTATACTGTACATGTCGAGAAAAGAATTCTCAACAAGTATGTTTCTCAACAAGTATACATGTTCCATAATTTGTGTTAAAAATGAGTTCTAAAATTTAAAAAATAACTAAAATATTTACTGTAAAATATTTATGTTCTTATATAGATCTTTAAAAAATAAAAAAATAGCATCATGAAACTAATTTTCTGAATTCTTTTTTTTACTAATACCAAATTACTTTTTTTTTACAAAAAAAAAAAAGAAAGGCTTGTTTTGCAATATTAGAAACTAGTTGTATACATTTTTAGCAATTAAATAATTCAGTCACAAAAAATACTAAAAATAAAGACTTTTCAATGGCACCAATACAAGAAATGCTCAATGTATCAACTGTTTGTTACAAACAATTGGTTTCTTCAAGTTTAGATTCAATTTTAAAATATAGTTAAAAATAAAAGTTATCTACTACAATCTAATAAATTTGAACTGTCAGTTACAGAAAGTTGATTTAGACACTGAACATGGCATTCCAACAGCAGTAAACTTAAGAAAACCATTAGAGTTAGAAGACTTTGCATTGAGGATACCCATGACAGTTGGATAACTCCATGTATTGAAACATTTTAAAATGTGACATAAAACCAAGCACTGATCTACAAGTGTACAAGTGTGTACATTAAATGTGACATAAAACCAAGCACTGATGTAGAAGTGTACAAGTGTGTACATTAAATGTGACTATCGCCTGGCACCTCTTCGAATCTTGGATTTAGCTGCTGCTCTTGGTCTATTGATGGAGGTTGGAGTCTGGGGTGTCAACATGTTAGGAGGACCTGAAGTGGCACCTGGAAATAGAGACTAATCTGACAACTTGTCCAATAATACAGTGAGACACACATCTAACAACTGGTCTAATGATACAGTGAGACACACATCTAACAACTTGTCCAATGATACAGTGAGACACACATCTAACATCTGGTCTAATGATACAGTGAGACACACATCTAACAACTTGTCCAATGATACAGTGAGACACACATCTTACAACTGGTCTAATGATACAGTGAGACACATATCTAACAACTGGTCCAATGATACAGTGAGACGTACATCTAACAACTTGTCCAATGATACAGTGAGACACATCTTACAACTGGTCTAATGATACAGTGAGACACACATCTTACAACTGGTCTAATGATACAGTGAGACACACATCTAACAACTGGTCTAATGATACAGTGAGACACACATCTAACAACTGGTCTAATGATACAGTGAGACACATCTAACAACTGGTCTAATGATACAGTGAGACACACATCTAACAACTGGTCCAATGCTACAGTGAGACACACATCTAACAACTTGTCCAATGCTACAGTGAGACACATCTAACAACTGGTCTAATGATACAGTGAGACACATCTTACAACTGGTCTAATGATACAGTGAGACACACATCTAACAACTGGTCTAATGATACAGTGAGACACATCTAACAACTGGTCTAATGATACAGTGAGACACACATCTAACAACTGGTCCAATGCTACAGTGAGACACACATCTAACAACTTGTCCAATGCTACAGTGAGACACATCTAACAACTGGTCTAATGATACAGTGAGACACACATCTAACAACTGGTCTAATGATACAGTGAGACACACATCTAACATCTGGTCTAATGATACAGTGAGACACACATCTAACAACTGGTCCAATGATACAGTGAGACACACATCTAACAACTTGTCCAATGACACAGTGAGACACATATCTAACAACTTGTCCAATGATACAGTGAGACACATCTAACAACTTGTCCAATGATACAGTGAGACACACATCTAACAACTTGTCCAATGACACAGTGAGACACATATCTAACAACTTGTCCAATGATACAGTGAGACACATATCTAACAACTGGTCTAATGATACAGTAAGACACACATCTAACAACTTGTCCAATGACACAGTGAGACACATATCTAACAACTTGTCCAATGATACAGTGAGACACATATCTAACAACTGGTCTAATGATAAAGTGAGACACACATCTAACAACTGGTCCAATGATACAGTGAGACACATCTAAAAACTTGTCCAATGATACAGTGAGACACACATCTAACAACTTGTCCAATGATACAGTGAGACACACATCTTACAACTGGTCTAATGATACAGTGAGACACATATCTAACAACTGGTCCAATGATACAGTGAGATGCACATCTAACAACTTGTCCAATGATACAGTGAGACACATCTTACAACTGGTCTAATGATACAGTGAGACACACATCTTACAACTGGTCTAATGATACAGTGAGACACACATCTAACAACTGGTCTAATGATACAGTGAGACACACATCTAACAACTGGTCTAATGATACAGTGAGACACATCTAACAACTGGTCTAATGATACAGTGAGACACACATCTAACAACTGGTCCAATGCTACAGTGAGACACACATCTAACAACTTGTCCAATGCTACAGTGAGACACATCTAACAACTGGTCTAATGATACAGTGAGACACACATCTAACAACTGGTCTAATGATACAGTGAGACACACATCTAACAACTTGTCCAATGCTACAGTGAGACACATCTAACAACTGGTCTAATGATACAGTGAGACACACATCTAACAACTGGTCTAATGATACAGTGAGACACACATCTAACAACTTGTCCAATGCTACAGTGAGACACATCTAACAACTGGTCTAATGATACAGTGAGACACACATCTAACAACTGGTCTAATGATACAGTGAGACACACATCTAACATCTGGTCTAATGATACAGTGAGACACACATCTAACAACTGGTCCAATGATACAGTGAGACACACATCTAACAACTTGTCCAATGATACAGTGAGACACATCTAACAACTTGTCCAATGATACAGTGAGACACACATCTAACAACTGGTCTAATGATACAGTGAGACACACATCTAACATCTGGTCCAATGATACAGTGAGACACACATCTAACAACTTGTCCAATGATACAGTGAGACACATCTAACAACTTGTCCAATGATACAGTGAGACACACATCTAACAACTTGTCCAATGACACAGTGAGACACATATCTAACAACTTGTCCAATGATACAGTGAGACACACATCTAACAACTGGTCTAATGATACAGTGAGACACACATCTAACAACTGGTCCAATGATACAGTGAGACACACATCTAACAACTTGTCCAATGATACAGTGAGACACATCTAACAACTTGTCCAATGATACAGTGAGACACACATCTAACAACTTGTCCAATGACACAGTGAGACACATATCTAACAACTTGTCCAATGATACAGTGAGACACATCTAACAACTTTTCCAATGATACAGTGAGACACATATCTAACAATTGGTTCAACGAGACACACATCTAACAACTGGTCCAACTTGTCACACTCTATTTATGTCATTGTAAGATGTTTGAAGAAAAAAGCATACTAAAATTGAAACTGCCAGGGACTGAAGATCTAAAGTCAAAGCCACCAGGATTTGGAGTGGTAAAAGATGGTTTGGCAGGAGACTGAGCTGTAAAGTTGAATCCCCCAGAAGGAGCTTGGGCCTGGTTGAAGTTGAAGCCAGAGGATGCTAAAATGGACAGGACAAGATCATTGATGACATGAAAAGCTTAAGGAAGTACTTCACTTCTAGTACTAGAATGATAGTCCATAAAAAACATATTTTAAAAATAAAAAAAGGACTTACAAAGATTTGTAGACTGTACATTAAAGGTGGTAGCAAGCTGTGGCTGGCCAGCTGCAAAATTAAATCCTGCTTGGGTTGTAGGGGCACCAAACCCTGAAGCATTGGAAGCTCCAAACAAGGTGGCACCTGATGAATTGGATGCAGCACCACCAAACTGGTGAGAAGTGGAAGCCTGTCCAAATGCAGGGGCTGGGTTTGTTGATCCAAAAATAGACCCTGGCTGATTTGTTCCAAAAGCTGTTGAAGAACCAAAGGTTGGACTGGCTATTCCAAAGGCTGGCTTTTGTACAGCTGTGCTACCAAAAGCACTGGATGAAAATGCTGCAGTTGTGCTTGTTGGAGCCCCAAAAGGCACAGTAGGTTGTGAGGGTGCTGATCCAAACACTGGGGTGGAATTCTGGCCAAAAATTGATGTTACGTGAGTAGTGGCAGCCCCAAAAGTTGACTGCTGCGCTGTATTGGCAGCCCCAAAAGTTGACTGCTGCGCTGTATTGGCAGCCCCAAAAGTTGACTGCTGCGCTGTATCGGCAGCCCCAAAAGTTGACTGCTGCGCTGTATTGGCAGCCCCAAAAGTTGACTGCTGCGCTGTATTGGCAGCCCCAAAAGTTGACTGCTGCGCTGTATTGGCAGCCCCAAAAGTTGACTGCTGCGCTGTATTGGCAGCCCCAAAAGTTGACTGCTGCACTGTATTGGCAGCCCCAAAAGTAAAGGGTTTTGCTGATAAATTTGAAGTCCCTAAAGTAGCCGGTGTTACACTTACAGTAGAGCCAAAAGGAATGGGTGCAGTTGCAGATCCAAATGCAGGTGCTGATGTCATAGGTGCTGAAAAGTTAAAAGGTGTGGAAATTCCTGAATTTGGACCATTATTACCAAATGGAGTAGATCTGCCAAATCCTGCTGTGTTTTCTGTTACTGTGTTGGTGCCAAACAAGGGGGCAGAACTAGTACCAAAGGAACTGGAGCTGTTGTTGCTAGCAACATTGGCTGAAGCAGCTGGACCAAAAGTTGAAGCACCAAAACTCAGGCTTGGGTTACTACCAAATGAAGGGCCAGAGCTTGGCTGGGTGGAGGCTGTGCTTGTTGTGCTTTGTCCAAAACTAAATGCTGATGCACTACTAGCAGCTGTTGAACCAAAGAATGAAAAGGGTTGAGAGCTGGATAAAGCTGGAGCTACAAGATTGCCAGCATTCAAACTGGACGAGTTGTTTACTTGAAACCCACTTGATGCTGCATTGACTGGGGCTGTGCTAAACCCCCCAAAGGCTGATGCACTTGGTTGTGAGGCTTGTGCAGGTTGTGATCCGGTGCTAAAAGAAAAACTGGCTGTTGTAGTTGGCAGGATTCCCCCAAAGCCACTGCTGTTGGCTTGTGTTGAGCCAAAAGTGAAGCCAGACTGTGGCTGACTTGATGTGCTGGCTGGTGGCTGACTACTGGGGCAAGTGGCTGCAAGCTGCTGGATAGGCTTGCTACCAAAACTAAATCCAGAAGACAGCGTTGAAGCAGTTCCAGCAAAGTTAAAGCCTGCTGAGCTGGCAGGAGCTGCACTGAAATTAAAGCCAGGATTGGCTGCACTTTGACTGCTGGAGGCTAGGCTTGGCTGGGCTGAAGGAAATCTGGATTGTTGAGATGGATCAACACTCAAGACTGCAGTAGTTGGCTGCATGGGACTGGCAGTCTGAGACTGCTTGAATAGACCCAAGGCTGGTGTCAAACTTTGAGCTGTTTCACCTGTACAAGATGCAATGGCTGAATGCCCAAATCCTGTGCTGGGTGCCGTAGAGGAACCAAATCCTGTGCTGGGTGCAGTAGAGGAACCAAATCCTGTGCTGGGTGCCGTAGAGGAACCAAATCCTGTGCTGGGTGCAGTAGAGGAACCAAATCCTGTGCTGGGTGCTGTAGAGGAACCAAATCCTGTGCTGGGTGCAGTAGAGGAACCAAATCCTGTGCTGGGTGCTGTAGAGGAACCAAATCCTGTGCTGGGTGCCGTAGCAGAACCAAATCCTGTGCTGGGTGCCGTAGAGGAACCAAATCCTGTGCTGGGTGCTGTAGAGGAACCAAATCCTGTGCTGGGTGCCGTAGAGGAACCAAATCCTGTGCTGGGTGCCGTAGCAGAACCAAATCCTGTGCTGGGTGCAGTAGAGGAACCAAATCCTGTGCTGGGTGCCGTAGAGGAACCAAATCCTGTGCTGGGTGCAGTAGAGGAACCAAATCCTGTGCTGGGTGCTGTAGAGGAACCAAATCCTGTGCTGGGTGCCGTAGCAGAACCAAATCCTGTGCTGGGTGCCGTAGAGGAACCAAATCCTGTGCTGGGTGCCGTAGCAGAACCAAATCCTGTGCTGGGTGCCGTAGAGGAACCAAATCCTGTGCTGGGTGCTGTAGAGGAACCAAATCCTGTGCTGGGTGCAGTAGAGGAACCAAATCCTGTGCTGGGTGCCGTAGAGGAACCAAATCCTGTGCTGGGTGCAGTAGAGGAACCAAATCCTGTGCTGGGTGCCGTAGAGGAACCAAATCCTGTGCTGGGTGCAGTAGAGGAACCAAATCCTGTGCTGGGTGCAGTAGAGGAACCAAATCCTGTGCTGGGTGCCGTAGAGGAACCAAATCCTGTGCTGGGTGCAGTAGAGGAACCAAATCCTGTGCTGGGTGCTGTAGAGGAACCAAATCCTGTGCTGGGTGCCGTAGAGGAACCAAATCCTGTGCTGGGTGCAGTAGAGGAACCAAATCCTGTGCTGGGTGCAGTAGAGGAACCAAATCCTGTGCTGGGTGCCGTAGAGGAACCAAATCCTGTGCTGGGTGCAGTAGAGGAACCAAATCCTGTGCTGGGTGCCGTAGAGGAACCAAATCCTGTGCTGGGTGCCGTAGAGGAACCAAATCCTGCGAGTGGGAGAGAATTTGCAGCAGATGTAGTGGATGCAGCAGATGTAGTGGATGCAACAGCACCAGATGTGGGGCTGGTTGTTGGAAACTGAGAACTGAAAGATGTTGGCACTGTCTGTGTTGGTAAAGATGTGGGGCTGGTTGTTGGAAACTGAGAACTGAAAGATGTTGGCACTGTCTGTGTTGGTAAAGATGTGGGGCTGGTTGTTGGAAACTGAGAACTGAAAGAAGTTGGCACTGTCTGTGTTGGTAAAGCTGGAGAGGACACATTGGATGGGGCAGCTGTTGAAACACTTGCTCCTTCAGGACACACAGGCTGCACTGAACTAACAGTGCAGTTACCTACAAAATTTTAATTAGATATTTTAAAGCATTCATTTAAAGAAACAAAATACTGTTGTTAGTTTCAGGTAATTACTCATGACCAAATGCCATTCTCAGATTGCTATTCTGTTGTTTCTAGCCAAATTTTAGTGTGCATTTAAAAATGATTGAATGGTTCATAGAATTTTAATTAAAAAGATTAATGTCATGTTTTTCTTGAGGTTATTTCTGTGCATGTTTGCTTTGATTTCACATTAATCTTAACTGCTGTTTTATGGTTCAAAGATTATGTTTAATTAATGATCTAATCAGAAAGTATGAAACTACTCAATACGGAAATTAACTTACCCGATATGTTGTGTCTAGAATGGATGTGTGGATACATACCCGTCTTCAATAGATGTTTGGATATATACCTGTGTCTTGAATGGGTGTGTGGATATATATACCTGTGTCTTGAATGGGTGTGTGGATATATATACCTGTGTCTTGAATGGGTGTGTGGATATATATACATGTGTCTTGAATGGGTGTGTGGATATATACCTGTGTCTTGGCTGAGTAAGTGTGACAAGCTGCTTGCTGCTGATGACACAGAACTGACAATGGGGGTAGTAGCAGACTGCACTAGTTTATTCAAACAGTCCAAACTGGCGCTGACAGCAGCTGATGTGGCAGCCATTCCTTGCTCAGCTGTCACAGGAGATGTACATGGAGCTCTTGATGATATCATTGATAACTCAGAAGAGGATTTGCTTCCTATCAAATACAGAAACATCTCAAATGGATCTTCTATAAACATCCCAATATCATTCTTTTTTCAACCAATGGTAATATTTCTTAGAACATGGGTTCCCAACTGGAGAAACGAAAATATATTTCACTCATGAGATGGAACTAGTTGCAAGGTAAAACAATAAGAGAGTACAGTAGTAGAGCCAGAATCAAATGAAGCAGCATTTTAAATCATTCAATTGACAGTAAGGTAGATCCAGTAAGATGTTGCAGTACTTGTAAAAAATCAGAAATGACATCACATGTCGCAGTTCTTGTAAAGGGTGGCAAAGGGAATTGTAACTTAGCGTCAAACCAAACTTTTTGTGTTTTGTGCTCCTTTTTTGTAGTTAAAAAACAAAATAAACCACTTCTTGTGAAGCTACTGATTAAAAGGCATATATGAATAAAGTTTAAGTCTTCATCTGTTGAATTATGGTATTTAAATATATATTTGATTATTTGAAAGTATCAGTTTTGAAAAACAAATTGACCATTTGGCAAGTGCCAATCAACCCCATGTTGTTTAATTTGGTTCACGAGCCAATGCTAGTAGATCATTCGATGCCAGCAGATCATTCAATGCCAGCAGATCATTTGATGCCAGCAGATCATTCAATGCCAGCAGATCATTTGATGCCAGCAGATCATTTGATGCCAGCAGATCATTCGATGCCAGCAGATCATTCGATGCCAGCAGATCATTCGATGCCAGCAGATCATTCGATGCCAGCAGATCATTCGATGCCAGCAGATCATTCGATGCCAGCAGATCATTCGATGCCAGCAGATCATTCGATGCCAGCAGATCATTCGATGCCAGCAGATCATTCGATGCCAGCAGATCATTTGATGCCAGCAGATCATTTGATGCCAGCAGATCATTTGATGCCAGCAGATCATTTGATGCCACCAGATCATTAGATGACAGCAGATAATTTAATGGCTACATTGAAAAAATAACTTCAATTTTTAAATGAAGATTAATACATGAAAACACAAGAATTTTCTTTCAGTAGTTGCACAAACAAAAAGTTCATTTCCTTAACTAGGCCTACTTAGTGTTGTAATTGGCATTGTTGGACATGAAGGCTAGTGAGAAGCTGGCAGAACAGTTTCAAGGGTTGTCAGCAAGACACTCAAGAAAGATGGCCCGACAAAATATCCAGACCTGTGGCAACACACCATTTTTTTCTGTCAAAAGTTAAGACATGGTAGATCTAGTGCTTTTTTCTATCTCGGGAGTAGTAATAAACTCAAAATAACCATGCTAAAATTAGACATTTGAATGAATGTAACTGTTAATAGCGTCATGTAGACTACACTGACATGGTCTCATGTCACAGGCTTCAGTCAGTTCCACCATGAAAAGTGGGTGAGGTACAAGTTAAATAATGAGAACAAGTTCAGTCAGTTCCACCATGAGAAGTGGGTGAGGTACAAGTTAAATAATGAGAACAACTTTAGTCAGTTCCACCATGAAAAGTAGTGAGGTACAAGTTAAATAATGAGAACAAGTTCAGTCAGTTCCACCATGAAAAGTGGGTGAGGTACAAGTTAAATAATGAGAACAAGTTCAGTCAGTTCCACCATGAAAAGTGGGTGAGGTACAAGTTAAATAATGAGAACAAGTTCAGTCAGTTCCACCATGAAAAGTGGGTGAGGTACAAGTTAAATAATGAGAACAACATATTTCTTTCAAGTCAATTTTGATGACTGGAACTGCTTTTTAGTCTGGGGGTCGCAGATCACTAGAACCCTATAAAAAAGAGTCGTGACCCAAAAAAGGTTAGTCCTTACCTTTCCCATCAATATGGACACTGTCATCGCCTAAAAGATCTAAAACTCGTCTCTGGTATTCTTTCTGCCGATCTTTTTCAAAGTCTGACATGCTGACTTGAATGGTAGTGTGCATGGCCTAAAGACAATCAAGTTATGCATAAATCACATCTTCTGGCCTATAAACATGCTAAATCTGACCTACAAACATGCAAAATCCTGCCAAGCCCAATAACTGAGTGCATGACAAATAGTTTGAAAAATTTCTTGACCTTAAGAGGTGTAGCTGGACTGTGATTGAGGGAGACACTTTGTTTTCTTAAGACAACACCTTCTGCTATCATTCTATCTGCTAGTGGGGTGGCTGCCATCTAAAAAGAACATAAAATGTCTGGGTATGTAGTTAAATCTCATTTTCTGTGTCTGTAGTAAAATACTTGCCAATCAAACATCGGTGGACTATCAGTTTGCTTGAATAGAGTTAGAGTTATTTAATGTACATTTATGTAGGCACTACATTTCTTGAGTGTTAGTTATTGGGGGCTGAGCCCCACTATGTGCTGTATGAGTGCGTGAGGTGAGGTACAGCATTCCGCGGTGACCGCAAGAGCTCTTGTATGCACCGTAGTGCTAATGGGGGAGCCCAGAATGACAAAACCACTCCAATAGAGTCTTTGCATATTAATATTATGACATCACGGATCATTCAGTATGTTAACATCCTCCATCTCTGTGTACAGGTCAGCATTAAAATGGCAATCTGTGCTGTGAAAGAATGTAAAGTGGCAGATCTAATGGGATTCCTTTATTTCGACTGCCAAATTAAACTAAGGTTTTAGAGATTGGCAGTTAACAGAATGTAGACGCTGTCAATTTTTAGCCAATTGAAATATATTGTATGACTAGACTTAGATCTAGAAATCTGCTACTTAAGTTAATTTTTAAAAGCAGTTGATATTTTTGTTCCAGAAGGCTTTAATAAATTACTTAGGCCTAAATACTATGTGTCTAATTATAGTACTATGTAACTGATACTGGACTGAGTTTAGTTAAATTTAGAAGCAGATCAGTGGTACTGATTTCCCCTTTGTTCCCCTGCTGGGCCCTGAGGGTAATAAATTACATAAGAGATGCTATCTCTGGTTGGCTGAGATGACATTTTATGATGGGTTAGAAACGATTGGCTGTGAAGTAGCATGGAGAAATTTTGAGGGGAGGGCAGTGGTACTGATTTCTCTTTGGTCTCCACCCTGCTGGACCATGATGGTCATAACTTACATAACATACCATCTCTGCTGGGCTGAGAACAGTAAGCCCATGTTACCTACCAAGAGATGAAGTTTTATGGTGGGCTTGAAACAGGTAGGGGCTGGGTATCATGTAGGTAAAAACATTTTGAGGGGAGAGCATCGGTAAGTGTCTGATCACTTCCCTGCTGGACCACATAAATTACATAACATGCTACCCAGACTGGCTGAGATTTAAGAACAGCAGTGGTTGTTACCTCAGGGTCATAAATTACATAACATGCTACCCAGACTGGCTGAGATCTAAGAACAGCAGTGGTTGTTACCTCAGGGTCATAAATTACATAACATGCTACCCAGACTGGCTGAGATCTAAGAACAGCAGTGGTAGTTACCTCAAAAGTAGATAAGCAGTTTTATTGGGGATTTTGTAGGGGTTAAGTGGTCTCACATTTGTTACTGTAGTGTAGATTTATTGCTACTAGTTCTTGTACTAAACTAGAGAATCTAAGATGTTTACTAACTTGATGTAAATAATCTATATTATATTACTGCATTTTATGTCAACACTGTTATGATGTATGTTTGACTAGGCAAATTGGTGCGCATGATTGATGATGCGGCCGTATATTGACGCGGTACGCAAGAAAGTGACGTTTTAGTGTGAGTTAATTGTTGCCGGGGAAGGAGTTAGAATGAAGTCTTGTTCTTGTAGTCTTGGGGTGATGCCGTATATGTAATCATGTATTAATATCATTTGTACAAGTCGTTGTATGTATTTGTATTGTGAAATAAACAGTTGAGTTGACTAGCGTCTTCTATCAAGTCATTTGGTTTGATGACATCGTACTTTAGAATGAACTAGTAATTGGCTAGATAGAGTATAAAAGTAGTGTTGGAACCTCTCACATGAGCAGGCGTAACAAACACGGATATAATCTTCAATTCCTAAAAGTTTTTTTACGTATTATTCCTGTGGGTGCGAGGCTCTTAACATATGATGAACACATTTTAAGACATGCCAAGTGCTGCGCAATAGCTGATTGTTTACTGGTGGTGTTTGAAAGGACTCCATCAGCTACAAGTTTCATAGAGCACAACTTACTTACAAGGTCCACCATCAAACAGGTCAAGTGTTTTCAGACACATGTCTTGACATACACCCATATAATATCATACCGTAGCTAAGGTTTGACTTATGTTGTCTGGCATGGCTGATGTAGAAACAGGAAGTGTATCTTGTCGTGAAGTCTTGGATGCAGGCTCATCAATTCTAGCAAGAGGAAGAGATGACAAACATTAGTTAACCTTATTCATCTACAAACCTCTTCTAATCCTACAAATATCAACAAAAATGACCTAATCCTACAAATATCAACAAAAATGACCTAATCCTACAAATATCAACAAAAATTACCTAATCCTACAAATAACAAAAATGACCTAATCCTACAAATATCAACAAAAATGACCTAATCCTACAAATATCAACAAAAATGACCTAATCCTACAAATATCAACAGAAATGACCTAATCCTACAAATAACAAAAATGACTTAATCCTACAAATAACAAAAATGACCTAATCCTACCAATAACAACAATGACCTAATCCTACAAATATCAACAAAATGACGTAATCCTACAAATATCAACAAAAATGACCTAATCCTACAAATAACAAAAATGACCAAATTCTACAATAACAAAAATGACCTAATCCTACAAATAACAACAAAAATGACCCAATCCTACAAATATCAACAAAAATGACCTAATCCTACAAATAACAAAAATGACCTAGTCCTACAAATAACAATGACCTAATCCTACCAATAAAAACAATGACCTAATCCTACCAATAACAACAATGACCTAATCCTACAAATAACAAAAATGACCTAATCCTACCAATAAAAACAATGACCTAATCCTACCAATTACAACAATGACCTAATCCTACAAATAACAACAATGACCTAATCCTACCAATTACAACAATGACCTAATCCTACCAATTACAACAATGACCTAATCCTACCAATTACAACAATGACCTAATCCTACCAATAACAAAAATGACTTAATCCTACCAATTACAACAATGACCTAATCCTACAAATAACAACAATGACCTAATCCTACCAATAAAAACAATGACCTAATCCTACAAATAACAACAATGACCTAATCCTACCAATTACAACAATGACCTAATCCTACAAATAACAAAAATGCCCTAATCCTACAAATAAAAACAATGACCTAATCCTACAAATAATAAAAATGACCTAATCCTACCAATAAAAATAATGACCTAAACCTACCAATTACAACAATGACCTAATCCTACAAATAACAAAAATGACCTAATCCTACCAATTACAACAATGACCTAATCCTACAAATATCAACAAAATGACGTAATCCTACAAATATCAACAAAAATGACCTAATCCTACAAATAACAAAAATGACCAAATTCTACAATAACAAAAATGACCTAATCCTACAAATAACAACAAAAATGACCCAATCCTACAAATATCAACAAAAATGACCTAATCCTACAAATAACAAAAATGACCTAGTCCTACAAATAACAATGACCTAATCCTACCAATAAAAACAATGACCTAATCCTACCAATAACAACAATGACCTAATCCTACAAATAACAAAAATGACCTAATCCTACCAATAAAAACAATGACCTAATCCTACCTAATACAACAATCACCTAATCCTACAAATAACAACAATGACCTAATCCTACCAATTACAACAATGACCTAATCCTACCAATTACAACAATGACCTAATCCTACCAATTACAACAATGACCTAATCCTACCAATAACAAAAATGACTTAATCCTACCAATTACAACAATGACCTAATCCTACAAATAACAACAATGACCTAATCCTACCAATAAAAACAATGACCTAATCCTACAAATAACAACAATGACCTAATCCTACCAATTACAACAATGACCTAATCCTACAAATAACAAAAATGCCCTAATCCTACAAATAAAAACAATGACCTAATCCTACAAATAATAAAAATGACCTAATCCTACCAATAAAAATAATGACCTAAACCTACCAATTACAACAATGACCTAATCCTACAAATAACAAAAATGACCTAATCCTACCAATTACAACAATGACCTAATCCTACAAATATCAACAAAATGACGTAATCCTACAAATATCAACAAAAATGACCTAATCCTACAAATAACAAAAATGACCAAATTCTACAATAACAAAAATGACCTAATCCTACAAATAACAACAAAAATGACCCAATCCTACAAATATCAACAAAAATGACCTAATCCTACAAATAACAAAAATGACCTAGTCCTACAAATAACAATGACCTAATCCTACCAATAAAAACAATGACCTAATCCTACCAATAACAACAATGACCTAATCCTACAAATAACAAAAATGACCTAATCCTACCAATAAAAACAATGACCTAATCCTACCAATTACAACAATGACCTAATCCTACAAATAACAACAATGACCTAATCCTACCAATTACAACAATGACCTAATCCTACCAATTACAACAATGACCTAATCCTACCAATTACAACAATGACCTAATCCTACCAATAACAAAAATGACTTAATCCTACCAATTACAACAATGACCTAATCCTACAAATAACAACAATGACCTAATCCTACCAATAAAAACAATGACCTAATCCTACAAATAACAACAATGACCTAATCCTACCAATTACAACAATGACCTAATCCTACAAATAACAAAAATGCCCTAATCCTACAAATAAAAACAATGACCTAATCCTACAAATAATAAAAATGACCTAATCCTACCAATAAAAATAATGACCTAAACCTACCAATTACAACAATGACCTAATCCTACAAATAACAAAAATGACCTAATCCTACCAATAAAAACAATGACCTAATCCTACAAATAACAACAATGACCTAATCCCACAAATAACAACAATGACCTAATCCTACAAATAACAACAATGACCTAATCCTACCAATAAAAACAATGACCTAATCCTACCAATTACAACAATGACCTAATCCTACAAATAACAACAATGACCTAATCCTACCAATTACAACAATGACCTAATCCTACAAATATCAACAGAAATGACCTAATCCTACAAATAAAAAAAATGACCTAATCCTACAAATAACAAAAATGACCTAATCCTACCAATAACAACAATGACCTAATCCTACAAATATCAACAAAATGACGTAATCCTACAAATATCAACAAAAATGACCTAATCCTACAAATAACAAAAATGACCAAATTCTACAATAACAAAAATGACCTAATCCTACAAATAACAACAAAAATGACCCAATCCTACAAATATCAACAAAAATGACCCAATCCTACAAATATCAACAAAAATGACCTAATCCTACAAATAACAAAAATGACCTAGTCCTACAAATAACAATGACCTAATCCTACCAATAAAAACAATGACCTAATCCTACCAATAACAACAATGACCTAATCCTACAAATAACAAAAATGACCTAATCCTACCAATAAAAACAATGACCTAATCCTACCAATTACAACAATGACCTAATCCTACAAATAACAACAATGACCTAATCCTACCAATTACAACAATGACCTAATCCTACCAATTACAACAATGACCTAATCCTACCAATTACAACAATGACCTAATCCTACCAATAACAAAAATGACTTAATCCTACCAATTACAACAATGACCTAATCCTACAAATAACAACAATGACCTAATCCTACCAATAAAAACAATGACCTAATCCTACAAATAACAACAATGACCTAATCCTACCAATTACAACAATGACTTAATCCTACCAATTACAACAATGACCTAATCCTACAAATAACAACAATGACCTAATCCTACCAATAAAAACAATGACCTAATCCTACAAATAACAACAATGACCTAATCCTACCAATTACAACAATGACCTAATCCTACAAATAACAAAAATGCCCTAATCCTACAAATAAAAACAATGACCTAATCCTACAAATAATAAAAATGACCTAATCCTACCAATAAAAATAATGACCTAAACCTACCAATTACAACAATGACCTAATCCTACAAATAACAAAAATGACCTAATCCTACCAATAAAAACAATGACCTAATCCTACAAATAACAACAATGACCTAATCCCACAAATCACAACAAAGACCTAATCCTACAAATAACAACAATGACCTAATCCTACAAATAACAACAATGACCTAATCCTACCAATTACAACAATGACCTAATCCTACAAATAACAAAAATGACCTAATCCTACCAATTACAACAATGACCTAATCCTACAAATATCAACAGAAATGACCTAATCCTACAAATAACAAAAATGACCTAATCCTACAAATAACAAAAATGACCTAATCCTACCAATAACAACAATGACCTAATCCTACAAATATCAACAAAATGACGTAATCCTACAAATATCAACAAAAATGACCTAATCCTACAAATAACAAAAATGACCAAATTCTACAATAACAAAAATGACCTAATCCTACAAATAACAACAAAAATGACCCAATCCTACAAATATCAACAAAAATGACCTAATCCTACAAATAACAAAAATGACCTAGTCCTACAAATAACAATGACCTAATCCTACCAATAAAAACAATGACCTAATCCTACCAATAACAACAATGACCTAATCCTACAAATAACAAAAATGACCTAATCCTACCAATAAAAACAATGACCTAATCCTACCAATTACAACAATGACCTAATCCTACAAATAACAACAATGACCTAATCCTACCAATTACAACAATGACCTAATCCTACCAATTACAACAATGACCTAATCCTACCAATTACAACAATGACCTAATCCTACCAATAACAAAAATGACTTAATCCTACCAATTACAACAATGACCTAATCCTACAAATAACAACAATGACCTAATCCTACCAATAAAAACAATGACCTAATCCTACAAATAACAACAATGACCTAATCCTACCAATTACAACAATGACCTAATCCTACAAATAACAAAAATGCCCTAATCCTACAAATAAAAACAATGACCTAATCCTACAAATAATAAAAATGACCTAATCCTACCAATAAAAATAATGACCTAAACCTACCAATTACAACAATGACCTAATCCTACAAATAACAAAAATGACCTAATCCTACCAATAAAAACAATGACCTAATCCTACAAATAACAACAATGACCTAATCCCACAAATAACAACAATGACCTAATCCTACAAATAACAACAATGACCTAATCCTACCAATTACAACAATGACCTAATCCTACAAATAACAAAAATGACCTAATCCTACCAATTACAACAATGACCTAATCCTACAAATAACAACAATGACCTAATCCTACAAATAACAACAATGACCTAACCCTACCAATTACAACAATGACCTAATCCTACCAATAAAAACAATGACCTAATCCTACCAATTACAACAATGACATGACCTAATCCTACAAATAACAACAATGACCTAATCCTACCAATTACAACAATGACCTAATCCTACAAATAACAAAAATGACCTAATCCTACCAATTACAACAATGACCTAATCCTACAAATAACAACAATGACCTAATCCTACAAATAACAACAATGACCTAACCCTACCAATTACAACAATGACCTAACCCTACCAATTACAACAATGACCTAATCCTACAAATAACAACAATGACCTAACCCTACCAATTACAACAATGACCTAACCCTACCAATTACAACAATGACCTAATCCTACAAATAACAACAATGACCTAATCCTACAAGTAAGATAGAATACCTGGCATCATCCTCCAACCTGGATTGATCCGTACCAAATGACAGCCTGCGTGTTTGATCATTTGCTATCCCTCTAACTCGTTTTAAATCTATACCACTTTGTTGAAGCTGAAATAAATAAATTTTTTATTGAAGCTAGAAGAATGAAATTTTTTAATCTATACCACTGTTGAAATATGTAGAACAAAAATGGCGAAAAAACAGAATATTAGAAACAACAGCACAACACAGCAATAATAGGAATAAGGACTCAAAAATATATTTTAATAAACCGGGAGTGATCTCCCCTAAACTTTCTCGAATATTTTTATTTAAAAAAAATAGGGGATGGGAACTTGGGATATAGACATGAATTTTAATCAATTTTAAATACTTAAACTTTTTAAAATAGAATAAAATCTCGTAGAAAAAATAATTGCACACCAGTGAACGCCAAATAAAATGTGCATAATAGTGTGGAATATTATTAGTACTTTATAAATTTACATTCGTTTTTTGAGAAATCGGAAATAGCGTAAATTAGTACTTCCGGTCAACGGAAATTACTCAAAATTTGAAAGAAGGTAGAGAATTAGATCTTTTACTTAGGTGTGAAATTTCATTTATCTATCTGAAATAGTACTCAAGTTATAGGCTTTTGAAAAATTCAAAGTAAAAAAGGACCACTTCCGGTTATCTGAAATCACTCAAAAGTTGATACGGATCTATGATTTTGATAAAATACTTATATATGAAATTTCATCAACCTAGCTGTAATGGTACTCAAATTATCGTGTTTACAGACACACACACACAGACATACGGACAAGATTGCAAAATTATGTTTTTCCGTATCAGTGAGGTGTAAAATGTAAAATTATTTTTTTTGCAAGATTACAAGACTTTCTCTATACTTTGTATATATGAGAAAGTAAAAAGTGGCATTTGACAATATTAAGAGTTACCAGGTTCTTAAAAAAATATCAACTCAAATTATTTTTTATAAAACAACAAGCGTACCCGACCTCGCACGTTGCCGTAGAGATAGAAGAAAGTCTGACGAAATATATAAGAAAGGTTTCATCAATGCGTTACCAATCCTATAATCTTAGACGTCATGCACTAAAGTGACACTAATGGTGTTACTAGTGGTGTTTTATTAGAAGCTCGATCTCAATTTCTGATTGGATCATCTAATAATAGATGCTAATTGCATCATTCGCAAAGTGACAAAACTTTGGATTTTTTTACGGACAAAAAGAAACAACCCAGTTAATAATCTAACCTTAGTTAATTTTTCTGATTATTAAAAAAAAATGTAATACAGGTTCCTCAGTGGCCCATGTGAGCATTTGGGGGCTGAAACTGTAATTTTTGTTCACAGCCAAATCGCACCCTATCAGGGCGCCGGCGGACACGCCTGATATAATTTAGTGGGCGACTCTGACGCCCCATCTTATCCATTGTCTATCACACTGTTTAGAACAAACGTAGTCGCCATAGCGCTCAAGGGAAAGACCAGGGTGTCAAATCAAACCCTGCAAGGGCGTCGGCGGATGCGCCTGAATTGATATCATCACCTATTAATGTTGCCCATCGTGTCTTTAGTGTGTAGCCTTTTTTTAAACGAACTTAGGCATCACATTGCTCGCAGGGGAGCCCAGGGCGCTTTGCATCACACAATAGCCGAGGCGCTGGCGGCTGTGCCAGTTTTACCACTGAATATAGTAGTACCCCTTACCCACTATGCAGGACACCAGTTTGGATACCAATTGCTTAGATAGCCGCTCTGGAACTATGGGTGCCTAAACATGTATTGATTAAAATCGCACTCTCCCAGGCACCGCACATAAGAAATTTTTTTATTTTTTTTTTGCAGAAACCTACTCGAGAGTATTTTGATCATCTTCCTAAAGCTTAATCCAACCGCATCCGACTTTTATTTTTTTATATACCGTATATAATAAAGAAAAATCGCACAATCCCGGGGCGCCGCCCTTTCGAAATTGAAAATATTTTTCTGCAGAACCCTTCCCTTTAGCATTCGAATCAACACCCCAAAGTTTTGTGGCGATCAGTGTCAAACCCCAATCTATTTTTACAAGCTTTTATTTAACTCACTTCCTCTGTCATCAGTCTGTCTAGATTGAAATGGCCAAGCGAAATTGCAGGCATTTCTAACTGACAGATACGGTTCGTAATCGGTAAATGGGTCAAGACATGAAGACAATGAATCGTGACATTAAATTTGACTTAATTGGTCGCCTGATTAATTATTTTTATATACCATATAGAGAAGAATTCAATCACGCCTGCCAATTGGAAATTCTTTTTTTGGGAGAAACCTCGCCAGGTATTCTTAACAACTTTCCAAAGTTTCATGGTGATCGGATGAAAGGTGAAGAAACACATAAAAGACAAACACACGCACATTACTTATATATATATATATATATATATATATATATATATACACGACATAAATGGCCAGTTGAGGAAGGGTACAATGGGTGCTAGGTTGATAGTGTTGTCTTTTTTCTCTAAACTAAAACCAAAATTCACAACCTTAACTTCAAATTGAACCGGAGAGGAAAAATAACATTGAAAACGGATTTTAATCCAGAATCGGCTTTTTAATAGGATTTAAAGCTTGATCTACATGTAGTTACTGCACATTGATACTAAATATAGTCGTAGCCATACCCCTAAACCTTACACTTATTCTCAGTCATGTTAAAAGTCGCATTTAGAGTTTCTTCCAGGCAACTCTACTTGGGTGGAGCCCACACCCATCTAACGTCCCATTCAACAAAAGAGAATTATACACTTTTATTAGCGTTCGCCACCTCTCAGAAAATTTGATTTCAAGTACCCCCCCCCACCCCGGGAGGAAAAAAAGAAACATTGATCGCATTTGTAGATTATACAAACTAAAGGTAGAGCCCACTACTATAATATAGACTCATTTCCTACTTTTGACTGATAAACCTCACTCACACAGACAGTGTTTCTTTCAGACATTTTTTTCGGGGGTGGGCACTTGAATTTTTGCAGGGGCGAATACTATTCTCGGGGGGGGGGGGGGGGAGAAGGAGGTCGACACTGGTAAAAAAAATTTTATAATATAAATATAAAAATATATAAATCATTTTTCGTTTTTGGAGGGGGGGTGTGAAGGCCGCAATGTCAGTGTTTTTATTATAGAGTATCGATGATGTCATTTCTTTTGTGGGGGAAGACCTTCAGGGGGGGTTGAGCTTCACCTCGACCCGAAGAGATGCATGAAAGAAACTCTTCACGCAAACCACTTTTAAGATTAGATAAAATTGGCTTATAATTCATTGTTTAATCAAGAATCAATGACGTCATATAACTTTGTGTACTTTTACGGCTTGAGACTATTTCTTACTATATGATGTCACGTTTCGTTTTTCAAATTACTATGCATGTTTTTACTCTGCTTGTGTTTTCTCTATAGTAAAAGCGTTCTTGACAGATACATTGATAGATAGATACATACACAGATAGACAGACAGCGAAACTATTATTTATATATATATATATATATATATATATATATATATATATATATATATATATATATATATACACACACACACACATATATATATATATATATATATATATAAACTTCATAGTTTTTAACCCTTTACAGGCCTTACTATGTATAGAGTTTATGCTTAGTAGGAGAGGTCTCGTTGGTAACAAGATTTTAAAGATACCGGCGGAAGCATGAAATAATAAGTAGGAAGAGGTCACATGACTACCAGTCCAGCACAGAGGTCACATGACTAATAGTCTAAGAGGTCACATGACTATCTGTCCAACACAGGTCACATGACTAGCAGTCCAAGAGATCAGATGATCAAGCACAGAGAGCCACTTACCAATGCCAGGTTTGTCTTTGCCCTAAGACTAGAGCTGAGAGAAGACTGGATAGATCTGAGCACTGACTTGTTCCCAGCTGGGTTGGGCTGCTGTGGTAGTGAGAGCTGCTTCCCCCCACCCAACCCCATGGTACGCTGGTGATGGCTGACAAATGGGTCAATGGCTGGAACGGCTGATGGACGTGGATCAGACATGCTTGCAATATGAAGTAGCGAAGATCCAGGTGAGCCAATCAAGTTTGGTAAAGATTCAGGCATGGTTGGTATTGATGAGGCATTTGATTGGCTGCTATCCTGGCGCCTAATAATAAGAAAATGATTAGATATTCTTGACTAAGTGATAACTTGAGCCGACCATATCTGCACAGGTCACAAAATTGTTAGAGTGTGTGTATCAAAGCTGGCAGCGGTTGAGAACTTCAAGAGGTAGAGAACAATTTGATATTAACTATTTAACTACTTCATGTCTATCAAGTCAATGAAATTGAAAAGAATATACCTTCTCTTAGCAGCTAAAGTCCATGAGTCTTCACAAAACATTTCTTCTTGCTGGTTGACTCCTAATCTTTTCCTACATTGGTGTCATAAAAAAAAGCCAATAACTTATGGAAAATGACAAAAACAAATAAACCAGGAGTGATCTCACCTAACTTTTTCTTATTTTCTTTTTTTATTCTTATATAACACTACATGGGATGGCAACTCAGGATATAGACATGACTTTTAATTACTTAAACTTTTTAAAATTGAATAGAATCTCATAGAAAAAGAATTGCACACCAAGCGAACGCCAAACAAAATGTGCATAATAGAGCGGAATATTATTAGTACTTTTTAAATTTACATGCGTTTTTTTAGAAATTGTAAATAGCGTAAATTACTACTTCCGGTCAACCCAAATTACTCAAACTTTGAAAGAAGGCAGATAATTACATCTTTTACTTACATGTGAAATTTCATTTATCTAACTGAAATATAACTCAAGTTATAGGCTTTTGAAAATTTCAAAGTAGAAAAAGATCACTTCCGGTTATCGAAAATCGCTCAAAAGTTGATACGGATCTGATGTGAATATCTCAGTCAGCAAGGGAAAGGCAATCTGACACCTTCAGGACATTTATATCAGCAAGGGAAAGGCAATCTGACACCTTTAGGACATTTATATCAGCAAGGGAAAGGCAATCTGACACCTTTAGGACATTTATATCAGCAAGGGAAAGGCAATCTGACACCTTCAGGACATTTTTATCAGCAAGGGAAAGGCAATCTGACACCTTTAGGACATTTATATCAGCAAGGGAAAGGCAATCTGACACCTTCAGGACATTTATATCAGTCAGCAAGGGAAAGGCAATCTGACACCTTCAGGACATTTATATCAGTCAGCAAGGGAAAGGCAATCTGACACCTTTAGGACATTTATATCAGCATGGGAAAGGCAATCTGACACCTTTAGGACATTTATATCAGCATGGGAAAGGCAATCTGACACCTTTAGGACTTTAGGACATTTATATCAGCAAGGGAGAGGCAATCTGACACCTTTAGGACATTTATATCAGCAAGGGAAAGGCAATCTGACACCTTCAGGACATTTATATCAGCAAGGGAAAGGCAATCTGACACCTTTAGGACTTTAGGACATTTATATCAGCAAGGGAGAGGCAATCTGACACCTTTAGGACATTTATATCAGTCAGCATGGGAAAGGCAATCTGACACCTTTAGGACATTTATATCAGTCAGCAAGGGAAAGGCAATCTGACACCTTCAGGACATTTATATCAGTCAGCAAGGGAAAGGCAATCTGACACCTTTAGGACATTTATATCAGTCAGCAAGGGAAAGGCAATCTGACACCTTTAGGACATTTATATCAGTCAGCAAGGGAAAGGCAATCTGACACCTTTAGGACATTTATATCAGTCAGCAAGGGAGAGGCAATCTGACACCTTTAGGACATTTATATCAGCAAGGGAAAGGCAATCTGACACCTTCAGGACATTTATATCAGTCAGCAAGGGAAAGGCAATCTAACACCTTTAGGACATTTATATCAGTCAGCAAGGGAAAGGCAATCTGAAACCTTTAGGACATTTATATCAGTCAGCAAGGGAAAGGCAATCTAACACCTTTAGGACATTTATATCACTCAGCAAGGGAAAGGCAATCTAACACCTTTAGGACATTTATATCAGCAAGGGAAAGGCAATCTGACACCTTCAGGACATTACCTTTTTTCTCGTATGGCTGACACAACAGCTTTTGTATCCACTGCACACAATCTGTTTGGCTCTGTTGTCACAATCAATGGGGTACTCTTAAATCTAAGATACAAAAGGATGAAAGTAAGCTATTTCAGCTTTGGTGGAATTTTTCTTTCATGGATATTACTAAATTAGTGTTTGGGTAGAATGATGCTATTAAGTTAACAAGCTTAGAGGAAGTATAAGAAAACACATACACAGGGGCTGAAGGCAGCCTGACATCTGGAGTTGATAGTTTAATTGTGTTAGGGCTTTGTGCTGTGTTTCCTGCCATTAATTCTGTCAGGCCTAGTGATTCTCTCTTCTTAAGTCTAACCCATGGAACCTGCCCTGCTGTTGATCTGGTTGGATTAACTACTGATCCATGGTTTAAGCTCAGGGACCTGCCCAGAGGTTTAGATACAGGCGAAAAAGGTGACTGTGAGCTGAAAATTTCAAGCAGAAAATACAACATACAAATGAATTCATTTTCAACTCAAATCAATATGCATATTGTAACTCTCAAGTACACTGTCTACTAGTATTAAGCAGCAAAGTTTTCTAACCTCCTTAACCCAACATTAGATTCTAAAGCTCTCCTAACTTTAGGAACTATAGGGGAAGATAGCAATGGTCCATGAACTCCACTAAATTTCTTAGGTGCCATCATCTGATCAGCAGGTGACTCCACAGTTATAAGCCTGTCAGTTCCCTTGGAATGCCATGCCTGAGATGTGTTCAGCTGCTCCTGCACTCCAGTACTTGCTCTAGAGGGCATATGCTCTGGTGTCAAGTTCTAGTAACAGAACAAAATATTGTCATCATTAACAACAGTAAGCACTCCATTTTAATTATACACAATATCTGCAAGAGAGGTGTGTCTTAGTCTAGAGCAGTGGATATTAACCTGGGTTTGATTGAACCCCCAGGAGTTTGGAGTTCAAGACACACCAGACTCAAATGATTTACGATCGGATTTTGTCAGTGCGAGCAATAGGACTAGCAGCCAAGGCAAATGATGGTACAAACACGACAGCACAACATAACATGTATTGGTAGCGTGGACCCCTTGACGTCACTTTCAGCAGCACCTATACAAACGTATGTTGATAATGTATAAAAATGCTGTGATGAATATTACTTTATATAAATATTGTGGCCCGCAGTCAAATGGAGACTTTCATGATGGTGCCTCGTGTGTTTTGTTTTTTTTATATTTTAAAATCTTCATATTAACTATGTTGAGCAAAAAAAGAAAGTAGTCGGACCAATATGTAGCATATGGATTCACATGTACAATGTCAGCATCTTAACCTTATGTTTTGCATTGCCAAGCTGAGAGATTCTAGTCTAGCAACAGCAGAAGGCAGAAGTGACAGTGATTTGCAATAAATATTTATTGTTGTATTTACTTTTGTGGGAAAAATCATATTGTAATCACTGTGTTCAAAGAACACAATGATGTTGATGCACAGTTCATTTTGTGTCCCATTTGAAAAAAAAACACTATTTTTTTATTAAAGGCTTTTGTTTGACTCACTAAGTATGTGTGCCTGTGGGTGTGTCAGGGTGTGGCGTTGCAAATCTCAGAATCTTAATTTAACCCACTTCCCATTGTCCGATTGAGCTGAAATTTAGCACAGAGGTAGATCTGGGTTGACAATGCAAGAATATCAAAATTATAATAGAATTGGAAAATTAGTCATTAAAGTTTAATTTAAAAATTACTAGCCTATATATTCTCAATAGTATATTCTGCAAATCTTGGAATCCACATTTAATCCACTTCCCACTGTCCAAATGAGCTGGACTTTGGGGTATTGGTAGCACATAGCTAGTGGGCTAGCAGGGTTGGTATGACTTTTTGAAAATGAAATTCCAGACTTTATACAGATTATGTTTTAGCGACAAATTTATAAAATGATGCAACATTTGTACTCATTATAATTACTTAGGCCTACAGTATAATGACATTTATTACGCCTATAGACAATTGAGCTAATGTTTATATTAACCTTTCTCTAATCAAAGTGACAGGAAATAATTCTTCTACGGTTGCCTACCCCACTCCCCCACAAATTTAAATAATTAAAATCCTGTTTAATATGATGAAATTATTTTGTTTCCAACATTAAACCTGTGTAATGTGTTAATGATCTAATTGCATTATGTTTACAATTAAACTAAAACTAAAATAGTATAGTCAGTATAGCCTAACAGTGAGAGTTAGCTACTTTGAAAGAATAATAATAAAGTAATTTACTAATTTAGTTCAGCTCTTGTTGAGTAGCCTATACGTATTCAACCTTGGTCCTAGATCTAGTAAATAGCGTTGGAAATAATAGGCTATTTAAAAAGAAAAGAAAACCTGGAGTGATCTTCCCTAAACTTTCTCAAATATTCTTATATAACTATAACACTACGTGGGATGGCAAATTAAGATATAGGCATGTTATTTAATCCATTTTATTAGGCCGTTCGATTCATTCACAGCTTCCGGTTTGTTGTTTTGAAGCCCTCTCACGGCTCATGCTCTTACCAAAAATGGTCACCAGTTTCGCTTTCACTATTCGGTAGAGGGATAAAACTAATGATTATGAAGCCATCATGATTCATCATCAATTTTAGAAATCAGAACTACCGTTTCTATTTAAGTCTGTAATTTAAGAATTGTCAGATCTACTTTTGACCTAATTTCTTTGTTTGTCTTGCATGCGGCACCTTAGTGAAAGTAGCTCTACATAATTCTTACCTTTTGAATCAAATAACTCTAAAAGTATAATAACCCAGACTATGTGTAGACAAAACTTGAAAGTATCAATTTTACACACATCACAATTAACTGGTAATAATTTATGGTCTGCATGTGATGTGGTCCGTGCAACTGAGCACCCCTCAATAATGCCATTTTATTATATCTTTTTTGGTGAGAACGAGGCGCGGGAAAATGTGTGACGCACAAGAATCCAGTTAATTGGCTAGATTTATGACTGTTTTTTTATGTCACACCTAAAAATAGAATGTTTACGCTCTCTTCATTGATGATCATTTTTTATATTTTTTAAACTGAAAGTATGAATTATTAGTTAAATTGCAGATTTTGTAACTTGGTTTACTTACCCTTTAGCAAATTAGCATAGAATGCTGATTGTGTATAAATATAGTCATAAAACACAGAAATATAAAATTCCAATTGTGATGTGCCACATCCCCTCAAGAAAACGTGTTTATTAAGCTGTTTATCTCACTTAACAACTGTAATTAAAATTACTTTTCGGATGATTATAGATACCTGTGTCTGATAATAGAATCTTCTTTAAAAAAGGGGTGTTGGGTTGTTAGTAGTATTGTAATGTCGACTAATTTTATGGTTAGAAATTAGGGTTAGGCGTATGGTAGGACCAGGGTTGGGGTTAGGGACAGGGTTAGCATTGACATTAGATAGCCATGTGTGCATTTAGTTAACTACCAGTAACCTAACACCCCTTTTTTAAAGAAGATTCCATTATCAGACACTGGTATAAACATTCTCCCATGTTTACTAAAAATTAAAAACAAACAAAATTAAATTCTGTTTTAATGAAGGTCACAGGTCAATTTTTTTTTCCTTCAGTCAAGTTCAGTGGAGGGTGCCACAGGCTGACCTGACTTTGGAATTTTTTTCAGTAATAATGACTTTGCACAGAAAGTTAAAATATGCTAAATTGGCTTAGTTTACTAGTTTGCTAGCTATTATTGATGGGGGGGGGGGGGGGGGGGGCGCCCTAGGCCTACATTTTTAAATTAAAAAATCATTATGAAATTTCCATCAAAATGCTTAATTCTATAGGCCTACACAAGAAAGACAAAAATACATAGAGCTACTTTCATTAAAGCGCCGCTTGAGAGACAGAGAAATTAAGTCAAAAGTTCACCTGACAATTCTTAAATTTTAAATAACAGACTTAAATAGAAACGGCAGTTCTGATTTCTAAAATTGACAATGGCTTCATAATCATTAGTTTTATCCCTCTACCCGTACCAAGTAATGAAAGCTAAACAGGTCGCCATTTTAGTAATGCGCTTCTAGTGCATGGGCCACGAGATGGTTTCAAAACAAACAAACCCGGAAGCTGTCAATCGAACAGCCTAACCCAAACCTTAGTTTCTTACCATAAAATCATAAAACTAGTCGAGATTACATAGGGCCCTAATTATTTATTATATTTATTAGGCCTACTACTACTTATACTTACTAACAACTCAACACACCTATTTTTGGGAGAGTATAAGGTAATCTATTGTTTTAGGTAGGCCTACATAAAAATCACCCGCGACTAGTAATGTGAAAAACAGGTGACTCCTTAAATTTTAATAATTATTTCACATTTTGAGGAGGATTTATGTTTTGAAAAATACAAAAATGTTTCAAAGTTTCATTTATGTAGGCCTACTTGTTTTTAGACAATTGAATTAAAACTTTTCAGAAGGGGGTGGGGGGGGGGGCCTTAATAAATGAAGACTAGCTATGTTTCCAACAGATGCAACCATATGCTCATTTACTACAGCAGCCATATTGTTTAAGTTTTTTTTTGTAAACTTATAGCGCAAGATTCAGGGGAAGCCACTCTATTTTACAAATGGCTGCTGTTTATATAATATATAGCAAATCTTGCTCGCAAACACTGCTGTTTAAAGTTAATTTCTGGTCTATAGGCCTATTGATAGATTTAGCCTGATTTAGCCATTGATTTATGTTTATTAGGCCTATTCATTTATCTATAATATTTGACACAAATATATCACAACATACTTCTATTAAAGCCTTGACAATGAGGTAACTTTTTCGTACATTACTAGCTGCTGGCAATTTTACGTAGGCCTACCTAAAAACAATAGATTACCGAGTATTATTATCGGAGATCGTTCTCTAAAATCATTGATAAATTACGATAAAATGGTGACACTGACATTCCTGACAAATGACAACCTACCTTCTGGTGAGGATTATTATTATAGTTCCCATTGGCTGAAGTATTTAAACTTGATTCCTGAGCAAAATTGCTGTCAACATTTTTGGTATCAGATTCAGAAAATAATCCTGATGAGGCCGAGTTATTCAAATCTAGATCTATCTCTCGTGAATTTCTACTAGACCTAAATCTAGATGTTCTGTTGAAATTCTGATTCAAATTTTGAAACAGATTCTGATTGTTCATCTCATTGTTCTGATTGTTGACCACTGCCATTGCAAGTAAATTTTCTTTACCACTGATATTATTCCCAAAATGTTTAGAATTTTCATTTCCTTCCTTTTCCTTTCTTTTAAAAGGATTCCAGCTGGTCCACATTTTAATTTATAAATTCTAGATATGTAAGAGAACAATTCAGTAACAACGAGGGGAATTTAAAATTATAGCAGCAGTGGTGCAAGTGTGTTCTATTTTTAGAAGGTACTTAAGGACCTATTTCCGGTGAAAAATAGAAGTTTAAAAATGTGCATTTTCATTTTTCCTTAAATAAATTTCGCAGTCTTCTATGAGTCGATTCGCTTAACTCAATCTTGGCCTACTATGATAGTTAATCAGTGTTTCTTCTACCCCCCCCCCTAGCGAAATGGAATTTATACAGAAAACAAACATTTAACAGTGTCCCGTCCCCCTCCCCGAAAATTTAGTCCACCCCCCCCGCCGAAAATATCAAGTGCCCCCCCCCCCCCGGAGAAAAAAGTCTGGAAGAAACACTAATTGATCATCACAAACGGAGTAGGATCATCATTTTATTGTATCTTTTGAAGCATGGAGTGGTGTAAAGCAATTGCATGCAGAGTTTCTTCCAGGCATCTCTTCGGGGGGGGGGGGGGGGGAGGCAGAGCCCTCCCCGAAGAAAGTCTACCGCCCCGTCTTTCATACACTTTCTCGGATATGCTTTTATAACAACTAGCGTGCCAGTCCCACGCGTTGCTGCGATCTCAGAAGAACGACTGACACAACATTTTAAGGAAATTCCTTCAATGCGTTACCAATCATGTATTTTAGACGCGTGACCTTGTTTTCTAAAACCAAGCTAGATCTATTTACGTTTAAACAAAGCCGACGCTACATTACTTGGATCATAGTTGTTGGGGCGTGGGGTTTGTTCATACAAGGGCGCCGCCCCTGCGAAATTTACATTTTTTTCCCCGCAGATAACTTCTCATAAATATTTTTTATCAACTTTCCAAACTTTCACAGGGATTTGATAAACGTTGTTATATAATGCATTTAATAGAGACACAAACCCACATACTTTAATTTTCTATATGTAGAAGAAGATAAAGCTCAGGGTTTGATAGAAACCCCAAGGATTCGCTGAGTCAAGCGGAGTTGAAGACGACATAGAGTCGACTCGTATGATTTGTGAACGATAGAACTAGCGGCCTCGGCCGATAACAGTTCAAAATGTGTCTGTCTGTCTGTCTGTCTGTCTGTCTGTCTGTCTGTCTGTCTGTCTGTCTGTCTGTGTGTATGAGTGTATGTGTGTATGGGTGTATGGGTGTATGTGTGTATGTATGTGTGTATGTATGTATGTATGTATGTATGTATGTAAACAAGATAACTTGGGTTCCGTTTTAGTTATGTTAACAAAGTCTCACATATAAGTATTGATTCAAATTTGTAGTTATGTATCAACTTTTGAGAGATTTCTGGTATACGGAAGAGGCACTTATTCTACTTTAGGTTTCTGAAAAGCCTATAACTTAAATGTTTCAGTAGGTACACGAAATCTTACGTATAAGCAAAAGATCTTCTTCTTCTTCTTCGTTCTTAATTATTAGTGTTGAAGGGGATCGAGAATTATCTGCCAGTGCGTTTGAATTCAAGACTTTGTTCAAATTTATCAACCATGAGCTTTTTGCCGATTCGACCATGCCTCCAACACAATTAAGCGTTACGTGTCAACTGGTTATGCGCCATTGAGGCCATTGACTCTGATTTCAGCCTGCTTTTCTTTTTGGATTTGCTTTCATAGCCTTTGTCCAACCAAGAACAAACTACAAGGCAGCAGTTGTTTAATTTTGGAGTTGTCTCTCCTAGAAGAGTGGCTGTCCCCAGCTAACGAGCCTCATCTGCCCGGGGGTTCGAACTCGAGACTTTTCGGTTTAGCAACCATGAGCTTTACCGACTCGACCAGGCCGACCCCTCTAGTTTCTGTCAAGGAGGGTAGGGGTAGTACGGTCTATGTGGACACACGGAGGGGAGGGGTGGGGCGGTCTGTGTGGACGCCCACGCGGAGGGGTTGTGCGGTCACAAGTCAAGTTTTAAATATACAGCTTTAAAACAGGCCCTACATTGCTCTAACCCTAGCCCCACATTGCTCTAACCCTAGCCCCACATAGGCTCTACGCCATTCTACACGAAATGTTGAATCTGCACACATCTTAAGGGCCAATACATTTAATGGGCAGCTAAATCTAAGCACCCTGTGCTGATCTAACCTGTGCGGTAAGTTAAAAGTAAAAAAATAAAGGTCAAGAGCTCAGTGTCGCCTGACGATGTGGGGGCTATTAGGGGTCGTCCATAAATGACGTCACACTCGTAACGGGGAGGGTGGGTCCGTAATTTTGTGACGGTGTGTGATGAGGGGGAGGGGGTTTCAGATGGAGTCACGTCACTTTTTTGCATTATAAAAAATGTTAGAAAACGAGTTTTAGCAGTTATTTCGCGTTTTAGAAAACGGTTTCAATAAATTTTAATAGGAATTGATCAAAATACTTTAAGTTGACAGAGTTCTGACAAGATTTTGGAAAAATATCGTGTTTTAAGAAAAATTCAACAGCAATTTTGAGGGGGATTGTAGGCTAAGATGTGACGTCATTTTAGGGGGGGTCTGACTTTTTGTGACGACGTGTGACGGAGGGGAGGGGGAAGGTAAAAATCGTCCAAAAAATTAATGGATGACCCCTTATTAGATCTTGATCTATATCACCTAACACTCTTAATAATCATCTTTTGCATAGCATCTACTCTGAAGTAGGCAGTTGGTTTTTTTACCTGAGACATTTTGTTTTTGTGGTAATAGAAATCAGCAATGTGCTTAATTTCTCTAAACCGTGAGAGGAGGACAGAAAAGTGTTTATTTCCTCGAAACCCCTTTAAATCGTCTAACGCTGACGGAAATTAGTAGCCTACTACCGTTGATGTGTAGTAGCAATGCAAATATGTACTGCTTTATACAGTAAAGTGATTGGTAATCAATTTTAAAAACAAAATCTAGAATGTTGTTGTTTAGTGAAAATTTTAAAAATGTTTAAAATATAAAAATTATGAGGAGAGCTCGTTTTATTACAAGCTTTTTACAAGCTTTTATTTAACTCACTTCCTCTGTCTGTCGTCAGTCTAGATCGAAACACCCGAGCGAAATTACGGGCTCTTCTAACTGACAGATACGTTTCATAGTTGGTACGTGGGTCAAGACATGAAGACAATGCAATCATGACATTAAAGTTGACTTAATTGGATACCTAATTAATTTTTTATTAATTAATTAAAATTGTGTCCAAATTAGTAGGCTGTCTCATCAAACTATTCCGCGCTATTAGACACGCGTCATCATGTTCAATAGGTGCGCAATGGTTTTTAGTCATGCAACTCTAGTGTGAATAAAACATGTATAGTACTAAAAAATTTCATTAAAAACGTTTTAATAACAAGCTTAAAAAGTAGAAAAGAAATTATACACTACTATTTAAATAACTAGAAAGAAAAGCGTGGGTCTCTTCCTAAATATTAGTAAAGCTATCCAATAGATACTACAGTAACCCACTATTTAAATAGTAGTGTATAATTTATTTTCTACTTTTTAGTGCATTATTGTAATAGATTGAAATAATTGTGAGGTCAAGGGAACTCACTCTTCTGTATTAGTTATATTTATAATATTGTTATCTTGAGTGATGTCCCTTGTGTACTTCCTTCCGTCCTCTCTGGTATTACCATCGTGGTAGTTAGACCCAATTAAACGTGTTATATACAACCACAGGCTTCTGTCGTCAATCTATTATAACTGGCGACGAAGGATAAACATCCACTAGAAAGAGCACCTACTTACGCAAAAAAGAGGTTTGCTAGAGCTTATTAGCTAATTATTTCTAGAATTATGGCGCTGTATGGCCAAATAAAAGAATTTGATGCGAATGATGAAATCATTCAAGATTACCTAGAGAGGTTAAGCTTTTACCTAGAAGCAAACAACGTGACGATAGAAGCCAAAAAGAGAGCTATTTTGTTAACAGTCATAGGGCCTCAACAATTTAGGCTACTAAAAGACTTATGCGCACCAGCCAGTCTAACTACCAAGAGCTTTAACGAGCTGAGCAAATTGCTAACAGACCACCATGCGCCTACCCCATCAAAGTTTCTATGTCGAGCTAGATTTGACAGTAGGACTCGTCAACCAAACGAGTCAATATCAGAATATGTTGCTGCTTTACGTCATTTAAGTAGATTCTGTGAATTTGGAGAAACGCTGTCTGACAGATTATGTGAAAAGTTTGTGACAGGTGTAAACAGCCCTGATATTCAAAGAAAGTTGCTGCTCGAGTCAGGTCTAAAATTGGAAAAAGCAATACAACTTGCAATGTCATTCCAGCAGTCATCAGATGCGGCGAGATCTTTAGCACCTTCAGAGATCCATGCAGTAAACAGCAGGTTAGTCAACAAACATCAACCCCATCAGAGCATTCCAACTTATGCTAAACAGCCTGCTCGTTCAAATCCTAGATCTAAATCTAGTAATAATTATCAAAAATGTCATCGATGCAAAGGTCCCCATGCATCTCATCGATGCAAGTTCAAGTTAGCAACTTGTTATAAGTGCGGTAAGCAAGGTCACATTGCTAAGGCCTGCTTTGCAAAGTCTTCGTCTGTTGCTAAATCTAGCCAGTCAAGACAGTACCGCAACCAAAAGCAGCACTATGTTAACTCTCACCAAGACTACCTAACCCAACCAATGAACCACTCTACCTGTGAAAATGCTCAAATTGATTTGCAGCCGGATTTCAACCTGTTCTCTGTTAAATCAATAAGTCATGCTCCCATCAATGTACCAGTTAATATCAACGGTAAGAGCATCAGCTTCCAACTTGACACTGGAGCATCTCTAACAGTCATAACGAAGAAAGATTTTGACGCTGTTACAGGAGGATCAGTGCCTCTACAGCCATGTCACAAGTGTCTAACAACATACACTGGTGACAATGTTCCGGTAATAGGAGAGTGTATGGTTCATGTAAGTTATAATGGTCAAAGTGTTAAACTTCCTCTTCTTGTGGTTGAAGGAAATGGACCGCCATTACTAGGTAGGAACTGGTTAAGTGATCTTAAGTTAAATTGGGAGAGTATTTGTTCATTGAAGAATGTAAAAGAATCTAGTCTTACTTCACTAGATAAAGTTATATCTGAA